TTAGAAGGAAAATCGCAGACAGTTTTCATTCTGTAGACATTCCATGGACAAGATTAGTAATATTTAACCTAGATATTATATATAATATCTGTGTCACAATAAAAAAAACAATGGTTTGTAATAATCTCTAATGTTTTGGTTTTCAAATATATTACTAAGGCAAATAAAGATAAGAAAAACATGTAAGTGAATGACCAAGAGTAATCAAATTCTTATTAGCTGTAATTTCTGTGACTTGAAACTCTGATACTCTTTGAAAGGTAAACATTTAAATAGAGTTAATGCATGCACATGAAACACACAGGCAGGACATTACAGGTATCAGTGAGTATTTACTATCTGATAGCCACCACTGGCTGCCTCATATTTACCTCCTCCCTAACACACAGTGGATACTCATGATGTCTGTGCAGTGACTTTTGTTCATGATGACTCATCTCAACAAACTTTCCAGTAGGCCAGGCCAAAATCCAGAGGAAAGCATTAAGTAAGTGAAGAGGTGTGGAGAAAGGCAGGAATGAAAGGATCAATTCCTGACATCCTTGATGTTCTGCTCGCCCACCACCTTATTAAGGTAGAACTTTGAATTGTCCTTCCAGTAAACCCCTGGTGGGGCGGGACAGGAGGCTGATAAATCAATCATGACATATTCAAAGAATGGAAAATGATACAGCAGTGTCAGTGAGTGGTCTGTATGCACGAACATAAAATAATCTCAAAAGCAATGCTGAGGCATTCAAAGCCAAGGTGTACATATGAGAGAATTTACAGTTTTAAAATATGCAGAACAATACTACATATTCTATATGAATACATATCTATGTAGCAAAAGCATAAAGAAATGCATGGAAATGATAAACTTTGAATCAGGATAGTGTTTTTATCTAGAGAAGGAGGTAGGCCAGGAGGAAGGGGATTAGATCGAGGAGGGAGTTCATCAAGAAGGGGATTAGATGAACATAGAGAATTTCAAATGCAACTGTTTTATTTATTTAAAATGTGTTTGTGCCTGTGTAAAGCTATTATGGCAATATGTTTAACATTTGTTAAAGATGCAGGTGTTCAAAATACTGTATTCCATACTCTCCCATATGTGTGAGATGCTTCATAAGAAATAGAAATCTTACAATCGATTATATTTTAGCCTCAGAAAAAATGTGATAAGCACTTTGCTTTAGGAAGCAACCTTAACTAGTAATCCTAAAGCATTCCCAGATCATATCTTTCAAAAGTATGTCCGTTGTTCAACCTGAAAAGTTTTTTCCAGCTTCCCAAGATAGCCCTGCCAAAACTTTCAGAATGATTGTAACTGATAAAAAAATTCAGATCTGTACTTGGGTTTGGAACACTTCCTGGGAAATTCTCTCAAAGGAATTCCCTTCAAAAAGATTAACTTCCCTCTCCTCCCCCCCCAAATGGGGGCGGTAGGTAGAGAGTAGTACTATCAATGGAGTCATTATTACTTTGGAAAGAGTTTCCTAACCATGACACCTTCCTGTCCCATATGAAAAACTGGACATTTAGGTTGATCTAGGGGCATTAAACAGAAAACCATCCAAAATTTTCACAAAGGAGAATGAAAGAGACCCAGGTCTAAAAATACTTTAGATGAATAAGGTATGAAAAGAGCCAAAAGCTTATCTATGTTTAAGGAGCTCTGGTACTGTAGTGGTAAGGCACTCAGGGGCAATCAATCAGGTCAATTCCAACTCCTAGGGACCCAA